TTGGGATGTATCGCAGGGGGTCCTGGCCATCTGCAAAAGGTGTGGAGCTGTGATGCCTGTAGTTATAAGGTGATCGGCAGGGCCTCGGGGATCGTGCCCCCCCCCCCTTTATGGGGGCGCCAGGCAGGGTTATTACCTCCCCACCTCACTGCCAGACCCCATTGCCGACAAAACCAAGGTTACTGAAATTCCATAGATTTCCGTTACTATATGGATATTTTCCATTCCTAATTAGTCAAATTCAAGCATGGCAGTTCTACCACAGGAACCATTTGAAATCTATTGCCATTTAACCCCAGCGCTTGTGGGGAGAAGTGTTCGGATAGATCACAGGCAGGACCAAAAAAGCACGCAGTAGCCCAAGACCTTATAATTGGGTAGCATCGGCTCCCTCTCGTCAAGGGGCTCGATAGCACTCGTTTTTTTTTTTCTTCTGCTTACCGAAGAGATGCAAAACTAAGTTCGGTCGGCGGCCGAACGGCTGGGGGTCTAATCGAGCCCCACCTCCCCTTCTTACGTCAGCGGCTGTGAAAATGCCATTACCAGCTGTTGAAACATGGCAGTTGCTTTTGCATGAGTGCACGAAGGGTTTAAGGTACGTGATACGTGAAAGGTTCTACATGAAAATTGAGATACACCAGCTTATCAAATTGTGTTCACTGTGGTGCGCTCGGTTTTACCTTGACTAGTCTTTGAATTCTGGGGTGAAACAGACCAGTCAAGAAACCTGTTCCATAAGGAGAGCCACTAATGCAAAAGAGATGAGGGATGAGGTTTCCAGAGACCTTCATTACCTCCCAAAGGGGGTGCCCCGCCATTTGCCAATCCCTGCTGTAGTTGTTACGATTGGAGGGAGGGTGAATATGAGAACGACTGCAGGTCGTGCCAGCTCGATCATGACGAACACAATGGTGCCGACATCACAGCTCTACTGCCATTTTTGACGAAGTTAATCAACAAGGACCGGAATCCTACCCTGGGGCATTTCACCTGCAGAGGTCGTCGGACCTGAGACCCTTTCACTCAATTTTTTTTTCAACGGTGCATGCGCTCGTTTTTCCCGCGAAGCTCTCGGTAAGTAACATCCATCAGAAAGTGTGATCAAATAACGGCTGGTGACCTTCCATGACCTAGCATGACCTTTTGAGTGACCACGCACCGATGACATGACCACTGACGGCTAGCCAGTAGCTGCACCCTGCCCGTTGCATATGGAACAGGTGGTGATGTCATGATTCTGAAATTATATTGCAGTTTTGGCGCACTTGACAGAGCAGAAGACATTCCCACTTTTCCTCCATGACTATAGACGTATGATGGTGAAGCCATGAAGCTGACCAGACGTAAGATCGAAAATTTGAAAGTACGAAACGTAAGAATAGTTGGCACTGCTACTCATACCTAAGCAATTCGCAGCTTGTAGGAAACCAGCTTTGAGTTGGCAAGACTACAAATTTTGATTTAGAGGCAAGGATGCTTGAAAAGGTGATCGATCTTAGGTGTCCTAGGATAAGTTTGGAAACGGGATGCACCATTCGATGTGTTTTGGGCTTTGCGGGCTTTGCCAAGTTTCGCGGCGTTACGTGCCTCGTTTTTTTTTCATGCACGATCAGTATCTACTCTTGGGATTTTCGGTCATGGCAAGCCCCCGTCCCCGTCCCCCCCTATCGAAAATCCGTGGCGCCGCCCCTGGTCGTGACCGTCCAGCGCCCGGCCAGGCGGCCGGAGCCGCCGCCGGCGCCGTGATGCCTGCCGCTGGTCTCTCGTGGGCTGTCCACGGTGTCAGATGTGAGCCGAGAGCGAAGAGCGGCGTGGGATCCGTCGTCCGAGAGAGAGCCAGAGAGCGTGGAATGCGTCGTCCGAGAGAGCTTTTCAGTTCCGTTTCATCAACTTATACTTCTGATGACGTCATACTTCAGAGGGCCGGGCAGCATCACCTTGTCCAATCTCCGTCCTCCATTCTCAGAAGCTGCACTCGGCTCCGCCCTCGAAAGTTCGTGATTTGCTGACAAAGTTCGGTTCCCCTCCGGCCATGGCAGTCGCACCCTTTCACGCAGCGATCGGGTGGAATTCGCCGCCGGCGCTCACGGCGCCTGAGGCGCCAGGTGGCGGGCCTGGCCCTCTGCTCCCCTTGTTTTGAAGTCAGGTCCGGCCAGATGTCCTATATTTTGTCGTTGGCGACCGAGTTCCATTTCATCCTGTTTTCGTACAACCCGGGTCGGTCTCCGCTCCCCTTTCTTGTTTTGGTTCAAATCAGGGCCGGTCTGCACTCCCCTCTCCTTGTTCTCTGGCGGGGTGCCGAGCGTGGGACAGAGTCTTGTTTTCCAAAGGCTAAACTGATTAATGGCTCGAGGCTGGCAGAATGGCGCGTTTCGGTATGCTCTTTGTTGGCTTCAGATCCGAGTTCTCATGAAGTGGGGTGGTCATCTATAGAGGACCCCTGTTTGTCAGAGCCGACTTCGCCGTCTGCGTGGACGCCAGCTGGGACGGAGAGAGGGTATCACAGCCGATTTAGTCGGCTGACCGTGTCTGTGCGGCGCTCGCAGATGGCCGTGTTTCAGCTTGTGGCACAGCTTGCAGTTCAGCATGAAAGATGAAAAAAATGTAACGCATCTGCGTTACACGTACATTTAGATCAGTATCGTTGTTTTGGGTACTCAGTTCGGCGGCAATGCGGGGCCCGACAGAGACGAAGAAGGAGTTCAGATCGTCGGGAGATAGATCGGGCTGAATATTTGGACCATCTTTCTTTCCGGCGATCACTGATTTGATGCTTTGCCAGACTTTGTTTACCCCACGCTCGCTGATCTCGTTTTGGAGGACGTGACGGCGGTCTCGGCGTAAGGCGGCACGGACGGAGCGGTTAAGAGCCTTATACTCGGGAGACTCGCGGCCTAGCCGACGTAACGCGGAGCGACGTCTGGACATAATGTCGCGGGTGGCGGCAGATACAGGGGGCGCTGTAGGATTTCTTATCAGCACATTTTTGAGGGGGGCATGGTCGTCGAAGACAGGTAGAAAGTTGTCTAAAAAGACCTGCCACTTGTCAGCAACAGACGTCGAGTTATAAACTTCCTGCCAATCGACACTCAGCAGCTCTTGGTTGATAGAGTGAACGTCCGCTTGGTTAAGTGATCTAGATTGGATGACAGTTGGTTTTAGGCGCTGCTTAGGCACGTCGACGGTCACGTGGATGAGTTTGTGTGGGCTGAAATGGCAATGGACTACGCTATAAGAACGCACAAATTTTCGGTTTTGTACAATGCACACGTCCAAGAGAGAACCGGTAGTGAATGTTGATGTTGTCACGAGTTGATCCAGGGAGTAGTCAGACAGGAACTCGCTGATGTGTTGACGGGCGGGAGAGCTTGCGCTCTTTAACAAGTCACAATTCAGATCGCCGCATATAACAAACGGGACGTTGGGGTGGTCGATAAGGACACGCTGAAGCTGGGTTTCCAAGTCTGTAAAATCCGCACGCAGTGCGGTCGCGGAATAACGCGGCGGTCGGTACACCGAGCAGACAATCAGATTGCGATTTTTTGGTAATTTCAACAATGCCCACTGCGATTCCAGAAGACTGTCCGGGCACTGCGAGCTTGGTGGCTTCAGTGCTACAGGCGTAAGGTCCGCTTTGGTGATGATGGCGACGCCGCCAAAGCCTCGGCCGTCAGGTCGGTCCACCCGGCTGATGGAGTAGCCAGGGATGACCAGGAGGCGATTGGGTGTGCTCGGTCGTAGCCAAGTTTCGGACAGGAGCATGACGTCGAGATCTTGGCGGTTAAGTTCGTCCGACAGCTCCAGCAGTTTGGGCTTGAGGCTCTGGACATTGAGGGCTCCTTGTTGCATAGCTGAGTGGTAAATTGTAAAATACTTAAGGTTTGAAGAGATGCAGTGTAGTTTAGCCGACTCAGGGGCATTCTGCCGAGTTATGTAAGGCGGAAGGGTCGCAACTCGCAAGTCGTTTGTACTTTGTTTCCATGATTGCCTGATTAAAATGTAAAGCGTGCCTAATGTTTAGTTGATAATACAGCGAGGTTGGGCATCTGCTCAATCCATTTCTTCTCTGCAATAGTGCATTCGCCACTGTAATTCATTGTAAGAGGCACTGGGCTGCGCCGCCTGTTAAATTCCGAAACCACCAGTGAATTGTCACAGTCACTCACAACAATACGAATCGTTCAGTCGTGCGCTGGGGGTCCGCCAAGTTTGAGTGTGCTGCAGAATGCAGACTGGACCGCCGAGAATATAACACTTCCGTCTCCCTGGGCGAGCGGCGCATTGGAGCCGAAGGAAACTGCTTCAGTTTTTTTTTTGTGGGGAAGATACCCATGTTTGAAAATTATGTTATGGAATGATGCGATAAGGAAAAGGACGGTTTCTTGAATTGAGGGCTGTGGAGAAGAGGCAGATTTTCTCATTTGCTACCCAATGCAACGCGAAAAGACGCAAATGTTGCACATTGGGCTTAATAAGTCTAATAAAAGATAAGGGACTTCGTGAATCATGCCTAACTGACCGCGACCCAGTTATTTGCCACTGCAGGTAGGTACTAGGTAGGTAGATACTCATTTATAAACAGAGCGTTCCACCAACCCTCGCCAGAAATTCAATCAGCAGTTGCTTATCTTAAAACGTTTGAGTGCACCTAACAACCTTTAAAAATGACGTCCTCCCTTTCAATGGTTCGTTCGAAGACACAAAGCCAGAATCAGCCAAGCAATATCGGAATCCATTGCGCAGTGTGTCGACTGTCGGATGTGCCCATCCACATAGCATAGCACACACTGCTAAATGCAGGTACGCTCACCTACACATTAGGTATTCGAAGGACTTGATAGCTCATACACATGGAAGAAACGCATGAAATGCAGGGTTACCAACGGGCATTTTTCTAAATCCCAAGATCGCCGCGCGAATTTCCCAAAATCGAGCTCCATATCCCAAGGTCGACAGGATCAAAGCCCAGTGTGCATCCCAAGGTCTATAGAAACCAAATATAGAGCAAATAAAGTGTATTTGACGTATTTTCAAATCTTTGGTTGACTAAATAAATCAATATCGTTAACATAACTTGCATTCGGCACAGTTACACACGCAGGCATAGGTACAGAGACACAGCAAGTTACCTGCCTGGGTTTTACGAGTTGAAGCATGATCCGTCGCAGTGGCGGATCAAAGGGGGGGGGGCAAAATGGGCATTTGCCCCCCCCCAAACGGCATAATTTTAACATTACGCCTATGGACGATGCATGGAAAGAATCGATAAATTTTATGGTTTGCCCCCCAAAACTCTGAGCTGGATCCGCCTCCGATCCGTCGGGCGTCACAATTCGCAAACAGGCGGCCAGGCCGGGTGTTAATCGACGCGGAAGCCACTGGGTATTTCGCTAAATGCCTCACTTGAGAGCTGAGACGGGAGAACAAAGTGAAGACGCGTCAAATAAGGATAACTTATTCGTGCTTCGTTGGTTGCTTGGTAAGGTACAGTGAAACCAAACGAAAGAACGCTCGGTTGTGTTCGTCCAAAAAGGACGGTTTACAAAAAAAAAAACAATTAAGTTGTGTTAGATGTGTTCCTGATTCCTTTGTTTGGTCTTTATTAATACTTTTCCTTTTTCCAATGATTAAAAAAATGTGCTAAAATTAGCGGGAGTCTGTATGATATAAAACTTTATCGGAATTCACTGGGATTGTATTGCGTATGCAAGTCCACTTGCATACGCAATACAATCCCAGTGAATTCCGATAAAGTTTTATATCATACAAACATAAACCTGGGAAAAATATGACTCTAAAACAGCACTTAGCGGGAGTCGTAAGCTCGGGACAAATCCCAAGGTTTGCTGTTGAATCCCAAGGTCCCAAGGTCGGGTTCAATATCCCAAGATCTTGGGACAAATCCCAAGCTTTGGTAACCCTGATGAAATGTGATTAATAGCAAGGCCGTATATAGGAGGTAACAGCATTTCGCGTTTGTTTACTTTTGCTCAGCTGACGAAAATGACGTCACTGACTTTCTGAAGCTCGAGGCCGTCATTCCGCTATTGCGTAACAGCATCTTCAAAAACTTCAAAACATCGGGGAAAATACGTCGATTTCATCGATTTTTTCGTTCAATGATACTTTAGAGCGACTTGTGAACACATGTTATTCGTTTAAAATTTCGAAAATGTCTTATACATACTCCCGACAATCACAATCATGGAAGGTAATGCACTATGAAAATCCACGGCAGAGCTGGGCTAATGTCGGTCGGCAGGGAGCCAGGGATCGTTATCCGCGTATGTTTGTCCAGGTTGTCTAGGTCCGGCCGAGAGGCTATGCAGTGCCGCGGAGACGTTCAGACGGTTGTTGTTCCTGCTGCGTGGCAGCGGCGTGCCTCCCTCGGACCTGATCTACGAGCCGTGCGCCGAGCCCGGGGACGATCCGACCGACAGCGCGAGAGCGAGTGCGGCGTGGCGGCCATGGTGAGCTCGCCGGCGTCGGGCGCCCACCACTCGGTGGGCTCGGTGCGCCGCACACGCCACACCGTGTGCATCTGCATACTCTGCTGGTACTCTGCTGGTCATAGGCGACGCACAGCGCCGGCCGCCGGCACACGCACACCACCGAGACCGGCTGTTCGTGGCCAGAGACGGCTCACAGCTGCCTATCCTGATGATGTGCGGCGCGACGTCGTCTGGTGGGTGGAACAGGGAAAACAGCGTCGGCAGATTGTCCTCTGTGACATGTCCCAGGGGTAGGAACCTTAGTGGCTAGTCACCAGATGTCTCTGAGGGAGCACAGCAGTCACCATACGGTGATCTATTAGACTGTCAGTGTCCTCAAGAATTCAAGATCACCAAACGGCCAGTTTGGCCAATCACAACACCGTGCCGAAAAGTGACGCCGATGGATGAAGTACCCTACCACAGTACCCTCTAGATCACAGGCATCAGAATACTAGGATTGAAGTACAACATCGGTCAGCCGCCTCGGGCATCATTCGTGATGACGTCCACATCAGGCCGCGGAAAACATCACGGACGGTCATAGCACATTACAAATAGTAAGTAGAACTAGGAACTGCTTCAACAGAACGAAACTCAATCAACATCAAAAGCATTTCACAGCTTTCAGTATCACAAACCGTAGTGTGAAACAGTTCACCGTGTTCACAGCAGAGACAACATCTGTAAGAAACTACTCATCTCTAATAACAATCTCTATGTAATGTCCACCTGGCTGGACACACGAGTCACATCCGAACCTCCCAAGCTCATCACCTGACCAGATGAGAAACCCTCTCCAGACACACCGTCCCGTCCCTTCTGAACCGGTTCCCGGCCCTGGCGACATCAGGGCCGGCCCGACCCGTTCCCTGTACTATCTGGCTCTGGCAATGGCACTGAGCGTCCAGTAGGTTGAACATTAGAATGTCAGGGTGTCACCACCATCGCCCCTTCCCTCTGCGACTCACTGCCACTCCCCCTCCTCCCCAGTTCACTAGACCCGCCGCGGGTTAGCCGCCCTGTGGCGTGGCACCGGCAGGGGCGGACTCAGCCGAACTCGTCCAGTAGATCTCCCGCCCGTGTGCCGTCCGTCCGGTGGAGAGGCCGACAGGACCGGGCATCTCTCTCGGTAGTCGCCTGCCCAGCTACCCGGTCGGCACCGCTGACTGAACCTCCAGCGCCGCCTCCACCGCTACTGTGTACACCCTCCTTCCGCAACGGTGGAGACAGGTACACCAGCTGGACCACCGACTCCCGCGCACAGTCCAGCAGCGAGGTCTGTCCAGCCCCGTCTGTCGGCGGTTTACTGAACCTCCAGAGACGGCCGCACTTGAGTCCATGCCCTCGCTGATCCGAGAAACATCTAGGTGAGCAGAGTCATCAGCTGAGTGACTGTCACTAGAGGTCCTGCCACCGTTACACTTACGACCCCCCACCGGAGCCAGTACCAGATGTCGAACAAGGTAGGCTGTTGAAGCAGCGCACGGCCGCGGCTGACTCCGATATCACTCGGCTGGAACTCTCGTCCTCGGCGTGCCGCTGCTCGGCACGGCGGGGCGAGACAGCGACCGCAGCAACCACCCCACCGTCTCAGAGTCACTCACCCCGACCGGCTCCGAGTCACGCGACTCAATCATTCAACACTCGCCCATCACCCGTCGAGAATCACCCGTCGCCCCACCACACCGGCCGCACACACGAGGAGCGCACCGACCGGCCCCATCCGGCCAATGTCAGCCGGCCAACTGGCGGGGTCACAGGTTGGCAGGCGGCCAGGCGCCGCCGCTCTGTCCAAACAGAAGTATGCACATTGCACATCCTATAATGTCCGAAGGCAACGTGCCGACCGACGGCCTCGTCTGCGTAGGAGGTGAGCGCACCGACTACCGCTTGCTCTTCGCGTGTTGGGCTAGCTTCCTCAGCTGGTACTTTTCCGCTTCAGCTGCTGCTCGAGCGGTGTTGAGCCAGCGGAGTCGCAGGTGCAGCCGCGTGCTTACCAGCTTCCTGGCGATTCGCTCGTCCAGCCCTGGAGGTCGGGCGAGCACGCAGCCTGTCAGGCGCTTCACGATGCCAGGCGTCTTGACCGCGGTCGGCCCCATCACGTCACTGAACGTGTCGTTGAAATCTTCCACCACGCCCATCCACCACTGGCTGGGGACGTAGAGGCTGCCGCGGCTGATTGTCTCCAGCCAGCGGCTCGGTACGGACGCTGGCGCCAGAGAAGACGAGGTCGGTTGGCCGAGGTCGCCGCGGATCTGCCGGTATTTGAATGCCACATAGCCGGCCACGAACGCGAGCGCCTCGCGGTTGACGCCGAGTTCAGCGGTCCGCGGTCGAGTATTGGATGGCCCAGCCTCTTCTGTGTCCGGACTGTTGTCCTCGTGAGCAGGAGGGGCGGGTGGCAGAGGCGGCTGGCCCATCGCCGACTGGTAGGCGGCCTCCCATTGCTCGTGCTGCTCGGCAGCCTCCTCGTCGGCTGGATCGCGAAGCTGAAACGAGACAATGCATCAATTACGATTGATTCAGAGTATATGGCCGATCTGGTTTCTCACTACCGTTGCATGTGAGTACATTCACATGTACTCACATGCAAGAAGCTATTCAAAATGAACTATTCATAAGTTTGAAATAAAATTATTGTTTAAGTTGACCTTTCCTCCAAGTAAAATATTTAAATGACGAAATTGTATTTACCTTTAATGACGAAATGTAATTTAATCAAACACTAAATACAATTTAGTCAATTAAATATTTTACTTTGAGGAAAAAGGTCAACTTTATACACCGATTATATTAAAATGTTCACGAGTCTGAAATAAGGATTTAAATTTGATGAAACATAGGACATAGGTAGTATTACCTGCTGTCGCTGCCACTGATCTCCATCTGTCCAGGCCCTTGTTCAAGAAGCTGTTTCACCACCACCCTCTCCTTCCTCTGCTCGAGTCGGCCTCCCCTGGTGTCATCTCCTGGCCTAAACAAATAGAGATAGAACATTTATTTTAGATTACAATAAAAATGAAACACCTTTAGCCTGACAGCAAAATGTGGCAGATTTAAACAAGATCTGAATAATGCAGACATCAGAACAGGGCAGGTTTCAGAATTCAGGGATGTCAGGGCAAAAGGGAGAAGATCTGAGGCAGAAAAATGGGAAAAGAAGTAGGAAGCTTGAGTATCTCTGCAGGGTCCGGGCAGAGGAGATCAGTGCACATTGGGTGCGATTTTGTGCTTTCAGCCCAGAACAGTGTCAAGCTCCCTGCCATAATTTGCAGACTGATCCTTCAGTACAGATGAACCACAAAAACTGGGCCCTGTTCTTGAGCACCCATGAGGTAGCTACCTACTGTGAAAGTTGAAACTTACAAAATTATGAAATTGACGGTGAACCAGGAATGATGTCAAGGAAATTAAGAAAGTGGGAGGGGCATGTGATATGATATCAACAGGCTGTAATGAGCCTATGTGCCTCAGTGGTGGAAACAATCCCAACTGCAGGCACGGCATGCATCTTATTCTAACGACAAAAGAACACAAAGAAAAAAAACTGACGTACAACCATATTCATAAAAGCTAATACTCTAGCTACCTTATCATGGGCAACATGAGTTTTAACATTTAATGAAAACACACCTTGACAGTGATGAGGCTGAGGGTAGGTTCCTTGAAGGGATGGCATCTGGTTTCAGTGAAGGCTTCACATTTCAATTTGGCATCAGAGTTCTCTTGACTAGATATGATGGATCATAGTCTCAACAAAGTGTTCAGAGCACACAACAGCGTTTTTTACATTGAATTGATCTTGGCGGTAACACCTATGCACCCACGCAGCCTGGACTTCGGGATTCTTTGGAAATCTAAAAAATGAGGCTTCAGTTTTCTTGTTCGACCAACCTCCACTCCAGACCTTACATGTAGCTACAGCACAGGCTGGCATCTTGATTCAGTTATCTAAAATAAAATCTTACATTTTAAAGCATCACAATCTCAAAACAACATCAATCATTGAAATGACAACAAGCATATTTCTGCAGAAAAATTCAAATCGGTTCATGTCACACACGCGCCATATACGCAGAAGACTTGTTAAGCTGCCTTAAACAGCTGCAAAATAACTCACTTTGTGCTTAAGTTACTGCTACGCTTTATCGCAGAAACCAAGTAAAACAACACACTGGTATCTTTAGACAATGTGAAAAACGCACAATTCAATCGATTTGGACCAAAAACTGCGAAATTTATTTACCAAACCCCTCAGAAAACGGGAAAGAAGCGGAAACGCAGTGACGTCATATGGGCCGGAGTGCACCGCCGGAGCCTTCCCTATGGCTCAACATAAAGTCGGAAGCCCCTGATTAATAGCTGCAGCAGAAGTTTGGCGTCCGATGCCTCTTCGCCAAGTTAAGACCATGTCAATCTCGGCCAGTCTGCCGCCGCGCCGGCACTGGCCGTGGTGTGACGTCATCCGGCCGGCTCGGCGCTGGGTAGTTCCACACTTAGGTAACTCGCGGCCCGGCCGCGCCGGCCCCGATTGGCGGTCCACCAGTGACGTCACCGGTAGTGTTAAGCTGATTGGCGAATAATACATGGGAAGAACCGGGACGACATCCCCCTGATTGATTTATTACAACTATACACTGCACAAAATAGCGTGAGCTCACAAGAGCTGGAGTAGTGGATTGTACAGCGACGAAAAAGATATTGGTCTTATGACGTATACAATATTCCACACGGCTTTCTGCAAGAGAGATTTTAATACCAGCTTTCTGTTAGAAAAATCAAGTATAAGTTTTAATTGTAAACATTACACAACTCTACATTTGCCCTTCCAATCCTTGTTTGCATTCAAAATAAAAATTTTTACACTAAGATCTGCCTAGACTGGAATGCTTGATGACGCCAATAAACTGAGCATAGAGTGAATTATTCCTAGTTGAGTATTCTTTGAAATATTAGACAAAAAAATGCGCATGTGCGACCAATGAAGGATCATAAATAAAATTAAAACAGTGCGGTCATGGATTAGGTATATGGATTAGGAATACTTCATCCATGGTGCGGTGATAGCTTATCACTGCATTTGTTTTAGCTACCTATATAGATATTTTGCGATAAGTTACACGACAAAAATTGTTTGAATTCGATTATACTTACTGTTACAATAATAATGAAGACGCTCAGACGCTATGCTCCAACAGTGGCTCCAACGCTATGCTCCAACAGCCAACTCAAAGTACGGCGACTGCAGACTGTTATAAGCATAAAGAAGACTCTATAACCCTACATAGGTATCCTTTCATTGGCTTTTCAAACGGCGCGGGTCAACGATCCCGCCAAGATGCCGCAGCGTCGCGGATTTAGAAAAAAGGATTTAAAAAGTAATCATGAATGAGCATAGGCCTTCTCTGGAGAGGTGTCATCCAGGCTCCATCCACAGTCAGTCATTTGAGTGGTATAGAGGGCCTTGGCGGGCTTGGCCTTTAGTTGAGCACCATTCTGATTGGAATGCCCCGTCGGGCCTTTGACATCGCCGCTGTCTGGCCGCTTGGAACAGCGTGAGCCAGTTCCGGTTAGCACCTTGGTCCACTTGATGTGGTGCTTAATCCAAACCAACCAACCAACCATCGGGCCTTTGACATGCCTTGCAGCTGGTCGCCAGTGCCACTGGTGCAGCTGAGCATCATCCGTTCGTGTTGCCCAATCTGTAAGAATCTTGGTGCTGTCGGTGCTGCCCAAGGGCCAAGGCTAACGCTAGTTCTCTATATACGGTATACCGGGGTCCTAAACACCCAAGGCCGTATATAGCGTTGTATAGCTTACCATGACAGCGCTATATTGATATAGCGTTGCCATGGTAAGAATCTTGGCCATGGTGTCTGGTGACTGGCGACAGCCAAGTAGGTAGGTATCTCTAGACATTAATAAGACGCTTGGCGTTTCGCGTGGTATTTGTGTCGGAACTCGGATGTGACTAAATTGACACTCGGATACAGGTGTTGTTACAATTGTTACAACCACATCACTCCAGTCCCCACGTCACGCAAAACTCCGCCGGAAGCTGTTTTGCCTAGTCATTATGCGGTGATGCGACTCTGACACGCCAGTCATCCGTCCGTTCAGGACCAGGTTCCCGCCCAGTTCAGTCTGATGAACCACTCTGAGCTACCTCACTCAATCCAGTCCAGATCCGCGGTAAAATAACCCAACTTTGCGTGTCGCCTTGTCGCTGCACCTGCGATGTCGCCTTTATAGGTTCTTGGTCCTCACTCCTCTGCCATTTTGTTTCAGTCACTGCAGCATTCCACTCCGGTGTGATCGTACCTACATTGACCGGCGGCAAGGACATAATCTGGGAATGCTTCACCACCACCGGTAGACAGTGATCCCGTGCACCTCCAGAGGTCGGCTATCAGAGAGATCAGGTCGGAGATGGAGAGGTCAGAAGGTCATCGCATCGCACATACAATGCCAAATCCAGCCAAATCAACGTGTCGGTGTTGGTGTTGGATATAATTGCGAAAATGATTTCCAGTCGCGTCACGCTCCGTATGCAAACAGTAATAATTTTGCGCCGAAACTGATAGCCGTATCGAAACTGCCGCGTCATTGCAACTCTTCTGCGATTAGGAGACTTTAATAGAACGCAGTTCAATGTCCAGCGCTCCTATTCACATCATTTGCGTCCCTTAGTTCGACGAAACCATCGACATCCATGGAAGGAAAGCATTCCATTCGGGTACTAATAGTAATATGCTAGACATACCTATATTTATTTCTCCATATTCCATTGTGGTTCTTATCACGGTAACACCGGTTCGATCAGTGATAGCCGATGCAGGGATGATCAGAATTCCGTACTGCTTGCAAATTGGAACGATTGACGTATTTTCTGCAGAGAGGACCTGATGACCTCCACACAGGGTTGAACGCGTGACACTGACATTTGTAATTTGATCTCTTCGGCCTTCGGTAGGGAAGGCACCGAGGCCGCACGCAGATCGGAGCATTGTCCGTCATATCGTTCGATCTGCACTTGACAGTGCCTGCAACGATTTTTGGCAGTGGCGCCATCCTCAGTCACTGTCGATTGTCGATCCCGGAGACCTCCTTTACAACATTCCGTTATTTAGCTACGTGCCAGACCTCATATCTCGTAAGCATCTCGTATCAGGCATCTGCAAAGCCAGCGGCGATTGACGGTGCAGTGTGAACCCGCCGAATGCGGATATGCACCATTGCTACGGGTTTCCAAACACACACACCGACACGTTCAGAGACAAACTGGCCGATATTGGCGGACACGATATGAACATACGCTAATCTACTCCAACGGCCTCGCAACGCTTGTCAAAGTCGCTGCAGAGTGCAGGTGTACCTGCACGCACTGTGACGCCGCTCTTTACGTATAAATGCTAAGGCATCGTCCGCACTAGAAAGGCTGCACTGCGATGTCGTTTGTCGGCCTCAGACCGCTGGGCGCTGCATCAGCATTCAGCAGCCGAGAACAATATGTGAATGAACGAGTGACCGGAACGGAAGACGCTTTCCGGAGCAAACCGTATCGTTTTAACGCAAAGCATCTGATGATGAGATCAGTCAGAGCATCGGTCGAGCTACGCAGTTACAAAGCGTGCGAGGCTGAGCACCAGACCGTGAAAAACATATTTGCACATCTCACCGGTCACGGGTCTCAGTTGATGATTGTGATAATGACCTCAGCTCGGAAGCTGATACAAGCCTGATGCATGATATCTGGTGGTGATATCCTCAAGTGCGGCGCAAGCAAGGATGTATGATGATGAAGTTGCGTCGCTGGTTTTAAGCGTTGGGACCAGTTCAGTCAGCGAATGCCAACTAGCCGAGCCGGCTCTAACCGACACCACGGGAGGCGACAAAATACGTCATTCAGCATTCAGTGATTCGGAGTTCAGCATTAGCTGTCCTTTCTGATTCGTCGTCCTTCCAATTTCCATGACTTCAGACTTGCGAACTAGTAATGATTTGTACTTAAGGCTGGCTGACCCATGTGCCCGGAGGCCGGAAGTGTCGTCTATTGACTCGTTTTGATCACTGTGACCTCGACCTGTGGGCAACTAGGTACGTACGACCCGGACTGTTCATGGTGACCTGGGTCGTCCTCTCGGATCCAGGTGCCCAAGTCTGAAGGCGCTGACATGTGACCCAGATGACCCTATGACCTGACCTGACCCATTGTGACCCAGCTGAACCCCAAAGTGACCGCATGTGACCCGACGTTGAACCCTATTGTAGTTCCACAGCCCTGTGATCGTTTGTGCCGCTACCTGCATCCTTTTTATCAGTTACCGGATATAGCCAAACCCAGCGTGGTAAACATTCGTTGATTACTTTCCTACCGGATGGGATTATTTCAACTGCGCACCTCATTTGTCTGCTGCTGCTTATTAAACATATAGGTATGTCTATACAATTGGTGCTCTGCTGACAACAGCGCGATGTAGGCTACAGCGACATAATTCATTATTCAACCCTTTTTCACCGGCTGTGGGTGGGGCCTGGTACAGTGCCATTCTGCTAGATGACAGTCACCGTGACTCCCCCCCCCACACACACACATCAATGGAGGAGGGAGTGTGTGTGTGTTCCATACAAACAGGTAATTAAATGATCCTAAGACAGGTAGCCGACTAACAGACCGTGCAACAGACAGACAGATCCGCTGACTGGCAGACAGCTTGACAGACCGGCAGACAGGCACGCTATCTGGTAGACAGACAAGCAGGCAGAAAGACCGAACAAAGCACACAGCACCATCGTCGTTCAGTCCAGCGGACCGCATTCACCGGAAGCCCAGACGGAAGCGGCCGACTGTGCATTGGACAGTCATGGCGGCTACCGCACAGAGGACATCCGGTACCCCCTCCCCTCCCCCAGTGCCGCGGGGCAAGGGGGGGGGGGACACAGAGCGCCCCGTCACATCGAGTGTTGGGCCTATATTCACTGTAAACTGTGATTCACTGCGCATATATGCGCAGTGGTTCAGGAATGCTAATGATAAATTTTGGACACCGTGATCTAGACATGACCGACTTTCCGGCTTCGTCATTTTCGGATTTAAATATTTCACTTGAAAGAACTATGCGTTGTGACCCGACCATTGATGCTACGTTTGGTGTTTCTGCTTGAAAAAGTGAAACAATTTCGTTTAGGATATCAGGTTCGTTCTATTTTAAACTTACTCATCTGAACGGCCGACCTTTAAAATATATATGGTTATTGTGATACATTTGGTCCGTAGGAAGCCTCAAATAGCACGTGCGTGAATATTACCCTTGTCGCCTTTCAAAACAGCTTCCTTTCAGACCAGTGAATGAAGCCCGATGTAAATAGCTCGCATACCTCCGTAGTGGTATATTGAGCGCTATGTCCCGATCCGTCCTCACTATATGTAGTTCCCTGGAGCGACCTGCCCCACCCGGACCCGACCCAGCCCCGCGACCTTGCCCGGCCCATGGCGGCACAGTGCGGACGGCGCGGCGGAGCGTTTGGGGTGGATACGGCTGGCCGGTGAGTGGCCGCCTATAACAGGTCCATCAGTCTGTCCGCTGGACCATATCGACCGCGCGGACCCGCAGTGACGGCCTGCCGCGGCCGCGCCGCACAGATACCAGCTCCAATTAGAGTAATGGACCAGTCCTGCAACACGCAGCCCGGGTCCGCCCCTGAGAGGGCCGGGCCCGGTGGACACACCGGCCAGCACCGGCCGACGGTCTCAACACCCGACGGCGGCGGCCCCGGGTATAGCTTATTACTAACAGACTCGAGTAAAACCGACGCGGCGAAAACGCATGTTGTTCAATTAGTCGGCGCCTACTCTCCCAAGTCCCAGCCTCATTAGCAGCCCGAGCTAATACAAAATACCGCATGAAATCAGTATTGTATATAGTTACCCACATTATTGATGGTCGTACTAGCACATTACCCAGGCGAACTTCCAATAAAAGTTAAATATCTGAGCTTCGTATCGAGTCATCGACGACGGAGCATTCTGAATGTCCGGCTTTCCTTGAATGAATCCCCGGAGCGTCCACCTTGTACCGGGTTTCGCAGTTTTAGGTCGTCCGGTTCTTGGATAACATATGCGATATGTTGTACAGCTTGCTGAGTAGGTGAGTAGGTAACTTGCATGTCCATTGAATTCGATTCGTGAAAATTTTCGCGAAAAACGACGCGCATAGTCGCAAGGGGCTTTTCGCGGCATATCAGTGGCATACCTCCTTGTTTTAGTGTCGATGTAAAACCATGCTCTCTGTGAAGATTCGTATCCAAGGGTACATATTCGCAGATGTCATTTAAATCCAGAATACTGACATTTATTTACTAAATGGTCTCGCTTCAAACAGCGGTGACTGCGACATTGACGCGACAAACAGTGGTTACAAAAGATCACTGGCTCAGTTATCGTGTGTCATGACGTGAAACCATTCCAAGCAAAATATAAAATAACAATTAGCCGCTGAGCAAATAGCTATCGCGAAATTCTGGCGAGAAAATTATGTGTTTCGTATGTATGACGCTACGCCATTAGCATATTACGCATCAAGTATCCACGGCACAGAAGGACGAGCTTGTAAGTGGTCTGCACCGGAAGATCCTGCTTCTACCCCGCCAAGTGTGAGCACATGCGAGATAATAACCGTTTTCACGACGGGCTATCCGGCGAATGCACCTGATTTGACCAAATCTGCACCTAATTTCTTTTACAGCAAATATCTTCATTGTATGAATTCATTTCAGTGTTTTAATCGATGATGTTCTCTGATAATATGACAAAGCAGGCATATAAGCAATTAGTGCAACCCTGGCTGATAGCTGCTAAGAGACACACTGAACCTGATTTGACAAAATCTGCACCTGATCTGTACCAGATGTGTACCAGATGTGTACCAGTTGGCGGTCGTGAAAACGGCTAATGTCAGCAGCGTTCTATTGAGCTCAGCAGACAGCCAGTTCTATAGGTGACACAGCGCTCATCCGTGACGACTGACGCAGTAACGAGGAGAGATTGGCGTCATAGATTAGCATACGTCATACATAATGAAGTGCGCTTCCATCAGTGGGTGTCTCACTCATAAAGCTGTGAAAGTTATCAAGCTGACATAAGAATTGTGAGGCTTTCGTTCGGGCTTTTTATGTAAAAATGTAGGCGATACATGTTGTAACTCCTGATAATTGTTCAACAACAATGAGTAAGTGCAGGTAGATCATTGAACTGCACTATAGGTTCACACTCATTTAATTTGTGATACTCCAGCATCAACTTTATTTCACCACACACTGAACAAAGCATTGACTACATATAGACACCCTTGTAGTTTGATTGTTAACGGTGCTTGGGCCAGATGATTGCGATTTTCCACTCCATACCACCAAGGACTTTGTGCTGCATCACAGTTAACCTTAAATTGAAAGTCAGGAACCCTCGTAGAACTATTGGATAGCGTTTGTTTCGGTCAGTATCAGGAGCCAGGTTGTGCGTGTGTGTGTGTGTGTGTATGTCGCAAGCACCCGTCCAACATATATAGCCCACTACAATGGCAGCGTACTTGTTGGGGTCGTAGGCAAGGCAACCATCGTCGGCTAAAAGCGTATGGTCGCGGCCGTGTCGGAAAGACAAGCCACGGCGGTCAGCACATAAACACCGCACCCCTCACGCACACACATACACACGCACACCCACACACAGACCGAGAGTGGGGGCCGTCTCTGTCAGTCCGTCCGTCGGTCCGGGTGCACCGCGGCCCTCGGGCGGCACCACCGGAGGGCGAAACAGCGCCGGGATGACGTGTGTGTGCCCCCTGACCCCGCCCCGCGCGCGCCTCACCACCGTGACGCACGGCAAGGCACTGCCGGTCCCGCACCCGGTCCTGGTCAATACAGTCAAGGCACCTGGCGATTGTGGTCGCCACCGGGCGTCAAGCGCCGGCGCGCTATCACAGTACGGTGTCGCGGCGGCGACATTTGCTCAGACGGCGCCGGCAGAGGCGAGCACTTCCTGTGTCTGCGGCTGCGACAGTATCGCGCGGCCATCCGGTGGCGGCCCGGCCGGGCTGCCGCCGCGGCCCGGATCGATTTGAGTGACCGGCCGGCTCAATACGGGCGTCGGCCGCGCGGATGGGGCAGCGGCCTGGCCGGCGCCGACGGGCCATCGATCGGCCGCCGCCCACCGACGTCGTGGAGACGATGATCGCGGCCGGCCGAGGTCAGTCGGCCGGCACGCGGGCCCAGACGGTCCCCGGGGAACGGTGCACACAAACAGGCGCACACAGCGCAGCGCCAGGTCCGGCGGACGCGCACGCACCATCACAGACACCTGACTAAGCGTCCCCTCTGCGGCATCAGCCCCCCGTCGGAACGTACTGAGGGCAACGTGTCCTGCCGTCCTGAATACGCTTCCATATATCAAACTGTTCTTCGAATTTCACCATATGCACACTCACTGATGTAGCGAATTTACACGTATCCGCCTTAATTCTGTCGTTGATAAACTCTTTGGCGTGCACCCGTTTGATGTGCAGCTTGTCGGCGACCACGCCAGTGACGAGGACGTCCTCCAGCGTCAGGAACTTGGCGTCCAGCGTGGCCTGGTACAGCGGCTTCACCAGATCGCCAGTCATCACGTAGGCCGGCCCGGTCACGAAGTCGGGCAAGTACTTTCCCGCGAACGACTCTGGGCTGAGGTAGTACTTGGACTTGACGCTGCGGTTCGGCTTCCACCGGCGGGCCAGCCGGCCGAACAACTTATTGGTGTCCTTGCTGTGGACATCGACAAACTTCAGCAGGTTGTCCGTGTTGATAAACATGTCGTCATCCGTTTTCAGGATCATGCGCGCCTCGGGACAGAACGTGTCCAGCCACTCCAGCATCACGGCCGACTTGAGCGTCAGGTTGTTGTAGGCGTCGACAAAGTTGCCCTGGACGATGTCGCCGTAGGTCTGCTGCTCCTCGTCGACGGCACTCTGGTGCGGCTCGGCGGCGCGGCCCAGGAAGAAGAGCAGCGTCACGTCGCGCCGCTGCGCCACGGAGCCGCCCCAGGTCAGCCGGATGGCCTTGCGCTGCCGCTGGTGGCCCGGTGCGGTGGTGATCAGAATCACCAGCCGCAGGTCGCGGCCGCGCTCCGGACACCGGCCGCCGTTGGCGATCCGGAATCCGGGCTCGAGCCGGCTGCGGATCGAGTCTTTCACGGGCGCCGCCGTGCCGGCCGCCGCGGCCGGAGTGCTCTGCGACGGCGGCTTCTGGCGGCTGGTGGGTGAGGACGGCCCCGCCGCCGCCGCCGCCGGTGCCGCTGACGCCGCGGCACCAGTCGCTGGTGGCTTGGCTTGAGCTGGCGCTGAACTGTCTGCGACAGGCGCAGCCGCGCTGCCCGCCGAAGCCTGGTTAGCCTGAGTCGCGTTGCTGGGCTGCTGTAGCAATAGACGTCCTGAAACAAATGTAACTCTGTCACAAAACGGCACCAGATTCACACAGTTAATGATCGCGATTCTCAAAGTTCTTCGCATGGCGCAAGTCGGAACCTTCGTCAGTTTATTAGAAGAACACGCGATTACAGCAGAACACTGTGGCACATTATTGCTTCATTGGATGCGAACTGCTTATCAGGGATCAAAGGATTTGTTCAGGGACGATACGATACGGATACGATTGAGACTGCAGTCGGGACAGATAGGTATCGGGCCGTGGTTCTGACTGTGACCCGCTCTCCGTCCGCTCTTGGTAGTCTTGACATGAGAAATAAACGGACATTAAAAACTAAAAGGTCATACGCATGGCGGGCTAGAAGTTGCCAATCGCAGGTCCATTTGCATGATGAAAAACGCATATAGCTGGCAGCATTTGAATGTTATGTCTGACATTCAAGTTTCGGACACAAACTCGTCAAATAAGATCGTCCTGCGCATAAAAATTTAGTGAAAATAATTACTTGTGCCGTCTTGGAATTAGCAACATTTGACCGAAGTCAGGGAAATGATAGGTAGGCGTAATGACGCGTGTTGCTGACTGCTGTTTGCGGTAACGTCACCGTATGTACGATTTCCACAATATCGCCGAGCGCTGGATATCCGCTTCACTCGGGTAACTTGCCGTCCCCCTCTTTGTCTTGCCTCGGCCCCCTCCCCTCGTCCCTCGACACGCCTGTGTGGAATTTCATGCATTGCACTGCGCCGCTGGCTGTTGGAATTGTGACTGTGTGTTGCCGATAACGTGTGCAGCCAGTCGTAAAACGAACAACTGGCCGATATGATCTCAGCTGCAGTGGAAGACCGGACGTGTGAGCTGACTCGGGGATGTGAGTGCGGATGTGCCGACCTACGGCCGACACCAAACCATACCATGGCTATACGCCCGACGCCCGTACACAACGCCTCGGCGGCGCCGAAAAAGCAAAAGGCCACACATCTTATCGATATAAAATTGTTCCATTCCGTCACTCAACAATTGACGTCGTTTGAATGTCGACGGACAGCTGTCACTTGCCGCGCAGTGGGAGTCGACAGCGCCTAGTTGCGGCTCGCACATGTCAATCAAACGCCGCGCTGGTGGAATAGGGAAGCGAGCGCGCTGATGTACCCAGGGCCACAGAGGGGTCACTGGGCGGTCACCGCGGGCACCGTCCGCAGTAAAACGCGCTCTCGAGCTTCGAGCACGGCTGACGGCAGTGTAGCCAGGATAAGCCAGTAGCCACTGTAGTCATTGTGTTCAGTGTCTCGCTAAATAACATATGTCACCATTAACCAAAAATGTAGCTAATTCATCACCGATCCATGTTTACTTCAAGATACTATCACTGAATCTGGACACTTTTTTACTGATGGGAAACATCCATAGCCTCAGGGAACAGTAATATCTAAATACCTGAAGTGGATCAAACCACAAGTCTCAAGAGTACCTACGAGCGGGTGTCGTATGAAAGACTTCGTCTGACCGAATACATACATAGGTACTTTGGTATAGGCTGTTCCGGCAACCCTGATAACTGTACAAAGACCCCAACGCATCCCACCCGTTCACTACTATCAGTGCGGTATCGGGATGTCTCGTCGAGCCGTGAACAAATGTAATAGAGGGCATTGTGCTAAGTAATATCTTGGTAGCCCACTCTCTTGATTAGATACTGTTGTCGGTTGTGCAAGAGCAGAGCCCCTGCAGATAATGAGCGGAAGGGCCCGGCCGTACCGATAGCGGCGGCCGGCGGCCGATGCTGCCGTGGATGGGTCGAGACTGAGGCCGGGCGATGGAACCGACTCGTGACACGTGCCGTGGCGGCTGACGGACGGGACGCCCGCGAATGTGACCCGTCTCGCTCACCGTATACACTATACGTGGAAAATGGCAGATATAGGCAGGATTTTGGAGAACGTTTGGAATTTAGATAGTTCGCAGCCATTACCTTGCAACCGCGACTACCTATGCAACGTTCGATGCGAAGCCAGCTTTTGCTCGATCGGTGTTTGGTTCTCAGTGTTGCGGTACGTATCGATTTAGCGCATCCAGCAATTCAGTTAGTTATTAATGCCACGACAGATACAGATGATGCAATCATGAATACCGTGACCCGTTTATATAGGCACATGTGGCATCCATCATTCATGTAATTAATTGATTGAAATCCTACGCCGATAGACTTCATGCTCTGTAATTTTCCATAGTATGGTGAACGCGAGCAATGGTTCAATTTCGGTAAAGGAACATCTTAATTTATCGTAATCTTCTCGCAATATTAACACATTTATTTGAACCATAGGTACAAGTACAAGGTTCGGCAGCCTCCAGACCGCGGATGGTAGGTGTAGGCCAAACTTGGAAACAACCGGTTGCTAAAGTTGATTCTGTCCAAGAGCACGAATGTAGTTCATTAAATGATGTGCATTATGCATCACAAATCAGCTCAGCTGTCCCAACTAGGCAATCTATTAAGAAAGATAGGTATCAAAGTTGGCAACTGTAGCGTTTTGTTGCGGGCCATTGTAAATTGAACTAATTGCTTATGACATGTAGTCCATCCGGCTCGTCCAACGTTTCCTGCAGGTTTCATACGTCCCGGGCCGTATATAACCTGTATAACCTGCGTAAAACCGGATACGTAACCTGTACCCTTGTAAGTAAGCCGCCACTATTCTGATCATGTCTAGGACTGTCTACCCAAGAGGACAATCACGCGAATACCAAAAGTCTGTTCTTGTAGATGATTGGCAAACTCTGAGGGGATATTCCGATGCCGGATCTGGATGGACTTTGTTTCGTGAACTGTCCTTGAAAAAGTGAACAGAGCTCGACTTGAAGTTAACTGGGGCTTCTCATGGTCGACCTCATTTACTCCTTGAACACCAATTAGCGTGCTGCAGTGATACCGCTTATCTGTATCGCTGCTTGGTACCGACAATACCTCCGGTACCGACGGTGTGTGTCGCGGGTATCGTGAACCCACAACGGAAACGGTGCCCATTAGGGGTACCCATTTTTGGGTCAATTTTCCAAATTTTAGGTGGGGGTGGATTTTCCCATTATTTGGTCTATTCTGACTCCATCTGTGCCAAAAATAGCGAAATCAAACGATTTCTAGGGGTCGCGAATTCAAAATGAAAATGCCAATTTTAGCGAAAAATTGACCAAAATAATGTTATTTTATTTTGGAACAAGGTTGCCATGCGAACAGGTTGGAGTCAATTTTACCATTATTTGGTCTATTCTGATTCCATCTGTGCCAAATATAACGAAACCAAACGATTTCTAGGGGTCACGAATTCAAAATGAAAATGTTAATTTTAGCGGAAAATCGACCAAATTAGCAATATTTTATGTTGGAACAAGGTTACCATGTCAACAGTTTGGGGTTGATGTTATTGCATTTTTTTGCTCCGTTCTGGATCTAGCAGTGACAGAAATAACGATATCAGACTACTTTTAGGGGTCGCGAGCTTGCATTGGAAGTTTTAATTTTACTTGGAAAAATGACTTCATTTTAACGACTATAAATATGCAAAGCCAATGTGTTGCAGTGGTATTGATGACTGTTGGACACCGTGCAACACTACTTCAGTTGTATATTTGACGTGCAGCGGTAAAAGAGAGCACCAAATATATCTACAAAGACATAAAAACAGCACTAAGCTATCCTGGTATGCATGACCTTTTCCAATTCGCTAGACGACCTCCCCGAGTCCCGGAGTTGCAGAGACGGCAGAGGGAGGGGCGCAAGCTTTATACCACCGCGCCTTTGGGTGACCGCTGTGCTTGAGTGTAGCTTTGCCCCTCCCCCACAAACACCCACAACCACACACAGAATGCGATTGTGCATATGGAAAGACAGCTGGCGGAGAACATCACAGGAGGAGAGGAACAATGAACTTCATCCTCACCCCATTATGAAAGCAATATGTTTGCAATCTTGCTGATGACGGACAGCACTGGCCTGGCCGAACGCGTGCACGACTGCTCGTGGCTCCAGTTCTGGGCATGTGCCACTACAAGCAGCTGTTGACATGAGACGGGTGCAGATATCATGCCATGGAACTAGTGCCTGGTGATGGCCGCTGCCAGAAGTATCCTTGCAAGATAAAGTAACGGATCTTACGCTGCACTCACAAGTCACAGGCCCAGTCCAAACCCTCAGATGGTGCTGAACTGAAGTCGAATGGCATTGCCTAAAGCTGAGAATTAGGAAGGTACCAAGTCTAAACGACTCAGCCAACTCCGAGGCAGAACCGTTTACTGACTCTTGGCATTGCCTGGGGGCCGAGACAGTGGGTGGGCCACGGACCTTATGGTGGCGGACCTGATTCTCCTCCTCTTCAGCCTTTGCACGCACACTCCTCTATATGATGCGTCCTGGTGCCACCATACGGCCCATGCAGGATGAAAATCTTCTGCTACATTATAGGTTCTTCAGATTCAGACGCTAATTACCTGAGATCACAAATGATCTGTGCCAGAAGCTGTGAAAGTTCTTCGTCACATACCTATCAGCCGTGCACGTATCAGCGCATGGCTAGTCCCCCGTGTCGAATAATTAATATGAACTCGTAAATGATCGGATTGTATCGGAAACTCTTACATGAACGGTGTGTATCTGTCCCCACTGAAGAAATGAAATGGTACATGGTTGGTGGGCATGGATAGAATCGACTCTTTGGAGTTTCTGTTTTTGGATCAGAAGTTGAATTTTTTGGTATAGAACACCCATACCTAGGTATTTATCCTACCCTGTCTAAAGGTGTATTACATCGTAGCCGTGAGCGAACGGGACGGCGTTTCTTGTGGAAGTATACGGTCGAAATGGTTTGATCGTTTTTGAATTACATGGTTTGAAATACATTCGGAGCCATGATCTGTCAGATGTATCCTGAGCTAATTTGCACAAACTTGAATTGTATAATGGACACAAAGAGCCTGTCATGAACTGAGATATGGCAACTGAAACTT